AACATGCACCAAAATCTTTGCGGGAGGATTCACAAGGAGCCCCAAACATGAAGCCCATGACCCAGATCCCCAAGCATCATATAGAGAGCACAGGCTCCCTAAAGGCTTGCAGTTTGTGAGAATCCTCAAATCTTTAAGAAAAGGTTAAGAAGCTAAAAACTTTGAGGACAAGGACTCATCAGAGTTTGGCTTAGGGAAAGTGCAGTGCAGACAGAGGACCGATGCTAGCACGGGAGCTCAGGGTTGCCACGTGAGTAATGTGTTATATAGCTCAAGCACAACTTCTAACAGCAGCACCATCATGTGCTTGTCAAAAACAATAACCTCTTTTTTTGTTTCCTTTCACACCATCACAGTATGCCTCATCACCTACCTTCAAAAAAAGCCCTGAAAATCAGCAATTTCAAAACTCATATTTATAACCATTACCGATTAATAACTGTCACACAGCACAGTCAGACCTGTCAGTCTGCTTCAAGCTGTTCAGCACTCTACTTCAGCTCGTGTCCCAGCTTCAGAAATACTTTAAAGGCTCCCAGATTTGCCTTATAGGAGGAGTGAATGGAGGGAGGCCCTTATTGCCACTGAATACCCAAAAGTATGAGAAAAGGATCAAGGGAAAAGTAGCTTAGCAAAATCATTCAGGAAACACTCAAAACAGTCAAGGAAGCATTATCAAATTGTTCAGCATGGAATAATAGTGCACACAGAAATATGAAGGGTCTGATTTTAGCTTCTTGTCCCCCCTATCCCCCTTTTATTTTGGAAATCTCATTCTGTCTCGGTCATGTCAGAAAAGTATTATCAATCATCCTTAACGTAGCTTACGTATTTTAAAACAGAGACTGAAATGGAATTATGTAGTACTTCCCACCTCTATTTTGAAATAAGAGTTTTCCCCGAAACTAACCAAAGTACCTACAGTATACCACAGCAATGAAAGCTTTGTGTTTTTCACTTTGACTCAGGAATAAAACCCCACATTGTTACAAACTGCTTGTTAATAAAAGATTTAGAGATAACTTTTCTGATACTTGAGCAATGACAGCTACTCACAATTTATAAGTCTTATCTAGCAGTGTACAAGCACGTTTAATTTAAAGCAATTGGCTGACTCCTAACATTCGATCCTTCCCTTACAGATCATTTTTACATCAGCTATAAATCTGACAAACAGCAAACTATTAGGGCTGCTTTAGCAAAACCGCTTGGCCTTTCGCTGCTTTGAGATTGCAAACTAAGATTCAAAAAACATTCTGTCTGTATAAACATTTCTACTCCCCTCCTTCCCTCTCCCCTCCTCCCAGAGTGCTTATCCATAACAAACTCTGGAGTGGCTGCGATCCTAACTTAAGCAAGTTAAAGCAGAGACAGTTTGTCTCCTCATTACAGATACTTAACTCTGCTTAAAAGAGCTGTGAAACACAGAGATACTGTACCAAAACATCTTTTTAATAATTTTATTGTTATTAGTTCTTATAAAAAAAGGGGTGCACCAGTAGATTGAACAGGCCACCCTCCAAATGCACGAGCCGCAGTGACCTGCTGAGGCATCCGGCCCCCCGGAACCACCTGGCACCAATTCCAGCTGCAGCCCTTCCAGGACCACCCTCGTACACGTGCCAACTCAGGTGAGGGCATCTTGGAAAGTGTGCATGGTACGTGCCTCAGCCCTGAATGTAAATGTGATAGAAACCCCAGGCACTTCAGCCAAGGTACGTAATACTTGCTACCCAACCAAACAAAAAAAGCACTAAACTATTTAGTGAGATGAGGATTCATTTTAGTATTTGTAAACATTAAGATCTTAATTGAGTTTATTCTTACTACAGTTCCTCTTATTACTGTTGGAATATACTCTTAATATGACTCAATATGCACTTATGAATGCCATTTAAAACAAAAAAAAGAAAAATAGAAATTTCTCTTTGAAAGTTAAAATACTAGATTTTTAACATCTTGGAAGTAAACTCAGCAGGATACAGGGGGGAAAAGAAAACCCAAACCCAAAAGCACTGATTTTGAATAATGGCAATAAATAAGTGGGTGATCATCTAAGGGTCATTAGGATCACAACAATTATTTTCTCTTACATGTCGGCATACTGTCTGTACGGAGAACCAACACAAAAATAAATGTTTCTGAAGTGAATACATGCAGGTTCATTGGATGGGGGGGGTTTTGTCAAGTCATACATTTAAATATCCTTCAAGTCTGTTTTCATCATCGTGCATGAACTGGCAGTAAAATATACTTCAACCAGAAAACAAAAATAATTCATGTCTCCTATGTAAGCAAGTGTCAAGTAGACCCTATGCCATCTATCAGCATCCACCATGTTTAGATACAACACAGATATACAAATGTTATATAATTTATGAGAGAACTTCCCGTCCCCCTCATACACACAGGTCTTGGCATTCATTGACAAAGATAAACACACTGCACTCACATGTCTTCGACCGTGATATCTTTCAGGATCTGGCAGTAATCCACATTCCACACTGCCTGGTCGTCCCAAACTTTGGATGCCAGTAGAATTGCACCCAGCACAATTCGCTTCCAGTTTGCTGGACAAATATCTATCTCTGCATAAGTTAAAAGTCTTTCAAGATATACCTGTGGAAAAACATTAAAACCAAGAATTATTTTGCTATTAAGTAGAAATGAAAAAGAAAACTGTTCTCATAAACCCATTTCAGCAATTTTAAAACAGTACTCTGCTCTCAAGATATTCTTTCATAAAAGTTGTAGGTTTAAACACATACATTTATGCCAAGCTCAAGACTGGATGTGTGATAAATTCATATTTTAGTTGGCCTTTGCCTTCTGATCATATTACCAGAAACAAAACTGCTATTTTCTATCTGTAACGGTTGCTCATATATTCACATGCTGGAATGAATTCAAGTGATAGCTTAAATAAATTATTAAAATAATAATGTAAATAAACAAAATGCTAATTACTACTGAGGAAAGCAAGCATATGCTACCAATAACAGTTACTACCTATCATACAAACAACTATAGTAATTTACAGGTAACCAGTGATCAGCTATGGCATCATGTCACGCAGGGCCCCTCGGTGAGCCTGTGTGAAGACGTTCTATAGGCACCTACAGGATGGACAGAGGAACAGTTACCACAGAAACAGGGAGCTGAACAGAGAGGAAAACTATGTGCTAAGAAGGTAATTGATAACTGTTTCCTCTGGACCGATAAGCTCTGGAGATGAGTAACAGTAATCCTGTTGGACATACAAGAACTGATAAACTCCGGACACCACAGTCTGACCCAGCTTGCCCAAGGCCACCAAAACATGCTGGCATCAACCACAGCTCGGATAACCCAGACCTCAGCCAAGAGGCTGATGGCTACTGTTTAAAAAGACTGCAGGATTATATCCACACATCTGATGAAGCACGGGATGCTGGACAGACTTTCTGAACACCTACCAAAAAGCTGCTGGGATGGTGGAGGGTGCAGTATGACCCTTTGTTTCCGAACACAGAGCTAGGCTGGCCCCCTCAACTGATGCTCCAGCCAGGGAACGATGGGCGAATGCATGAGGGATCCACAGGAATTAATAAATTAATATGCTGTGTGAAGAGTTACCTGCTATTGATAACTGTGGCTCAATCACGTTAATAATAGCAGATTGATAAACAAAATGTGTCCTAAGAAATACTAGTTGTAGGTGATCTGTGTGACCCCCTACTCTATTCCCTGTTAGGGAAAGGGAAATTACAACAGTTACAAATATTTACAGGTGAGGTGAACAAAACTGAATACTTGTGCAATCCACAACGTTTATGTAGTTTACATACTAGCTGAGCAGACATCATAAAGCTCCTGCAGTTTGACTAAGTTAATGCTTATTAGTGCCTAATCAAATAACACCCGAACAATAGCCAATATATCAAAAATGCAATGTAGGATACATGCTGGCAAGGATTTGAGGGGAAAGGGAGAGCACATAGGGGAAACTTTAAAACCCAGAACAGCTCACTTGTGATTTTCTACAAGGATTTGCACTCATACAAGCATACAGAGTTCCTGCAGTGATTTGTGTTTCTTGAAAGGTCTAGCATTAGTAGAAAATATTATTCAAATAATAATAAAATAATAATTAATATATTTTGAAGCTCATTTATTTTTATGAGTCCACAATAACATCAAGGACAATTACATCCTTCATATACTTCTGTTCATTAATTTTCACAATTATGATATGTACAAGTAATTAGAGCTTGGCAACAAGATCACTGAAAACAGCAGACAGCTGTCGCATAATTGAAAGATTTAAAGAAAAAAATATTAAATATCTGAATACATGTACACAGATATTCAGCCCACAAAATGAACTGCCTCACACACTCTACAGTACAAACAGCACACTGAGCAAGAAAATAATGGGAAAAAATACAAAACACACAATATTAGACAACTTTTGTTCAAAGTGGCCACCACGAAGTATAGATTTCTTTACTCTTACTGAAGGAAAACAAAAGTCGAGTTACAGTGTCTGTAATGCTCACTAATACAGTCATATTACAATGAATTAATGTGTTAAAAGTATAAAATTTTCTCTCCTCACCAGACCACCTCTCCCAAGCAACAGATTTCTCAGTCCACCGTGAGGTCGTTTCAAACAGGTTTCACTTCTGGCAATGTTTTAAGGAAAATGAGATGCAGTCATCTATTAAGATAGTAAATTCTGCTCTGAATTCTGCTTGGAAGGAGCCTTGTTAGTGCCTTTACTGGCATCACGGAAGTGAACCTATTCTGCACTTTCGTTTCTCACCAGTGGAACCACTTGCTGCACACAGAGGAGCAGAACTTTAAACTGGAAGTGCTTCAACATGACAATATAGACACATTTACTAAAACCAACAATTAGTCCTGATATGCTACTCTATAAAAATACAGGCTTGCATTTCCTGAAGAATATTCTTTGTACCTCACAACAGATTTTATAATAGTCTCTTCACTATATTGTGCTAAAGAGCAGCTAGGTGGTTATTCAGCTTGCTAGTACTCTATAAAGAGTCTACATTGACTGACAGAAACTAGCAGGAGATTTTATAAGATACTCTGATTAAAGTATATGAAAATATCATACCTACCTGAAAGGCTACATATTTTATAGAAACAGAACACTGGTTGGGATTCTAAGGGACCATCATTTTGTTATGAATTTTAAATACCTAAAGATATTCTTCTACAGATGCTGAAGGAAATTTACTTCTGCTCTAACAGAAGAAATACATGGCTGCTAAGAAAACTGAAAATATTCCTTTAAGATATATACATTTTTAAATAATGTTGAAGATATTACCAGGCAATTTAATTTTTTAAGAGGGATTATGGTTGATTTATAGATAATTACTAAAACCCACGAAACATTTAGAAAATATTTATCCCTACTTTTGGGGATATCTGTACTTTCAAATAAATACTGGACTAACTTTAAACAAGTAACAGCAACTAACTTATACAAGAGGTGTACATACAAAATGGTAGGTGTATACAAATCTTATTCAGAAAAACATCATCTCATTAACAATGCCAAAATAGTTTCAATTAATTTTTGAAATTATAGAATACTCAAAAAATCTGAACAGTTACAGTATGTTGCATTTTACAGACTGGACAAAAAAAATAAAAAGTCTCAGTAAAAGAAATTTGGCTTTCTCACTCCCCAAGGGGTTCTCTAATCTTCTTGCATTAATGACCAATTAACCTTAATCTTGTCTTAGACACTTTGTTGAACTCAATCTACATCATTAGGCACAAAAAGACAGGCATAATAAACATTCAAAAATCTCAGTGAAAACGAAGATATACTCAGCTATAAAGTCAGAATATTTACAGCATGAGACCTCACAGATAAAACTGTTGATTTTTCAGGTTTTTTTCTTAAAAAATAAGAAATGTATAGGTAGCAAGATATCATAAAACTAAAGCTCAATTTTTCAAGGGGCCAGATGCAGACTCCTGAATACGCCAGTTTTTCTTTAGCTATGATTTGCCCCTGCCTGCCATTCTAATGCTGAAGAAAACCAAACACTATCTTATAATACTGTAAAACAAAATACCACTAATTGATCAAAGTTGTATTTTCCTTCATAAGGAAGGCAAAACACTATTACTATTAAAACATTATTATTTATTAAAAATTCTAAATTCCAAATTATGTGTCAAGCCCATTATTAAAAACAGAGTTTTGATTTTTTTTAATTAAAGCATCACTCTGAAAAGACTCTGATGTATAAAATCTGGTGTTGGAGTTTTGCCTTTGAAGGCTTTCCAAGTGATGTATGAGTCCAAAATAAACAGCACAGTTTAAATGCTTTGAGAAATGAAAATTAAGTTCCTAAAAATATGCAAGTGGTCACTCCAAGGCAAGGGTTCAAGACAGAAATGGAAAGAAAAAGTGTGTAAGTGGGTGAGGTGGGAACAGTAGTGGAGACTCAAAAGGTTCACGTCTCCAAGTGGTCCAATAACACTTACACAACCACAGAAACACAAAGCTCAGTAAAAAGGTGGCACGTGGATCTCACTCAAGTCTCCACTACCTGACGATTCTTTTTAAAAGGCTGCCTTCTGCTCTCCAGGCAGCCTGTGAAAACAAACCCCTTACACACTGTATTACACAAGCAAACTTGTTCAACTTAGCAAGCAAAACTGCTCCTTGAATTATGCAAACAGCATTCCCTGGAATTGTCCTCGGGAAACAGAAGGCTTATTTAAAGCAATACACCATGCAAATGCAGGGAGCTTCGTAAGCAAAAGGCGTATGGAAGCCATAACATCATGGCACTCTTAAAGCAGGAAATTAACTTCATTTGCTTTACATCAGAGCTGAATTTGGCCCTTTAATGCTAAAGCAAACCTTTTCAACCTCAACTTCCCAGATGGTAGTTTTAGTAATTTTGAATGAATACTCCACATCCACAGATACACAAAGCACACAAAAATCATAAGATAGTATCCTTTCTTATGTGCAGCTCAAGCTTAGAAAGAGAGGGAAAAAGAAAAAAAAAAAAAGAAAACGAAGGGTTTCTGTTGTGAGCTTAAATTCGAAAGCATTCAGAGAAGAAAAGTAAACTGATAAGAACAGGTAAGCATTACATTGCAAGAAAAGACATAAAGAAGAATAATTTATAACAGATGAACTTACACCTTGAACAGGTGAACTTACAGCTAAGTAAAAAGGGAGCATAAACTTGTTACTACCTTCCCACGAGCACACACTTGAGAAATCAGCTTCAAAAATTAAATAGGAGTGTGATAAGACACTATTCTTATACCACCTTCATTACCATATTTGAGCATTTTCCAATAGCATGTTGAAGGATATGAATAATCACTTTCGAGTCCTCAGTGATAACTTGGGCTTAACTCCAGAAATACAGTTTGCTGGAGTGAGACTGTATCATCTTCTGATAAAACTGAAGACGATAAATACCTCGCCAGGAAAAGGGTGCTTAGTGTGGCTTCTGGCTCCTTTCCTGAAAATGCCTCAAAAGAGAACATTTTGTTTTGTTCACTTGCTGCGGCCTCCCTGACTCGGCCTTGGGTTTTAAGTATATGTGTTCAAGAAGGAGACGACAGAA